TCTGAGAATATCTCTGGAAATCGGACGACCACTGTACAGCACTCCATCCTCACAGGTGATCACACGCCATTACGTCAACCACCTCGCCGAGTACCAGTACATTACCAGCCTCAATTAGAATCTATGGTAAAAGATATGCTGGAGAAAAAGATCATTGTACCATCTTCATCACCATGGGCATCGCCTATCGTTTTAGTGAAAAAGAAAGACTCTTCCCTACGACTATGCGTAGACTACCGCCGCCTTAACGCTATAACTAAACGTGATTCTTTCCCACTTCCACGTATAGACGCTACATTAGATGCCATGAAAGGCGCTCGTTGGTTCTCGACTTTAGACTTAGCATCAGGGTATTGGCAAGTGGAAGTCCGACCTCAAGATAGAAAAAAGACTGCATTCACAGTACCCAATGGTCTATATGAGTTTCAAGTAATGCCGTTTGGGTTAACTAATGCCCCAGCCACTTTCCAACGATTAATGCAGACAGTTCTACATGGTCTCGTACCACACCAGTGTTTAATTTACCTTGATGATATTATTGTGTATGGCAGAACGCCGGAACAGCATAATGCCAATTTGAAGGCAGTCCTACAACGAATTAAGCAGCATAACCTAAAAGTTAAACCATCTAAATGTCGACTATTGCAAAAAGAAGTGCTCTTTCTAGGGCATCGCATTACAGAAGATGGAGTAGCAACAGATCAGGGAAAAACGAGCGCCATTATTAACTGGCCACAACCGAAATCTGCCGAGGATGTTCGCAGCTTCCTGGGACTCGCTTCTTATTATAGACGTTTCGTACGGGATTTCGCATCCCTGGCAGCACCTCTGCATCGCCTGACGCACAAAGGACGAACATTTTTGTGGACCACAGAGTGTCAACAAGCATTTAGCACTTTGAAGTCGTGTCTTGCTGCTCCACCCGTACTAGCTTTTCCGGACACTTCTGCTAAAGCGGGTGAGTTTATACTCGATACAGATGCTAGTTCATCAGCTATTGGAGCAGTCCTGTCTCAAATAGCAGTAGATGGACAGGAGCGGGTCATTGCCTACGCTAGTCGGCGGTTAGATAAGAGGGAGACAAGGTATTCTACGACGCGCCGAGAGATGCTGGCTTTGGTAAAATTTTCGCAACATTTTCGTCACTATCTTTTAGGACGACCCTTTCGTGTACGCACAGACCACCGTGCACTACAGTGGCTTCGTTCGTTCCGTGAACCAGAAGGTCAGGTAGCGCGCTGGCAGGAGAGGTTGCAGGAGTTTGATTTTACCTGTGAATACCGACCCGGAAGCCGACACACAAACGCTGATTCTCTATCTCGTATACCTTATTCTCCTGATACCATTAGTGCCGTCCTTAGCACAGCCCCCGAGATCGACTGGCCGTCTCTTCAAGCAGAAGACCCAGATCTGCGATTTATTTATCAGAGGCAACTACATGGCAATAATAAACCATCTATGGCAGAGTTAAAGGATCATTCCTTGGCAACGCGCCGTCTTTGTGCCAAGTGGGGCGGTCTAAGATTGTATGAAGACACGCTATTTATAGTCAGTGAATCAAAACAACCACTACTGATAGTACCACGTATACAAGTTCAGAATATTATGGAGCAGGTACACCGAGAACTGGGGCACTCAGGAACACGGAAGACTGAACATGCTATCTGCGGAAGGTTTTGGTGGCCATCCATCCACGAAGACGTTGCAGAATTCTGCAAAAATTGTAGCACGTGCTATGCTATCAAGTCACCCCGACAAATACCCCGCGCACCCTTAGTTCCAATGACGACAGAAGGTCCGCATCAGCGAGTTGGCATCGATATTATGGGGCCACTCACAACGTCGAAGAACGGAAACCGTTATTTACTGGTTATGGTAGACTATTTCAGCAAATGGTGTGAAGCTGTGCCTATACCACAACAAGATGCCCTCACAGTTACTCGGGCTTTCATTGATCATTGGGTATCCCGGTACGGCGCTCCCCTCTCACTCCATTCTGACCAAGGTTCAGCTTTTGAAAGTCATCTCGTCGCCCAGGTATGTCGATTATTGGGAATCCGGAAAACACACACTACCGCATATCATCCAGAAGGTAACGGCTTAGTAGAAAGAACCAACAGGACTATCAAAGCTCTCCTTCAATCGTTTATCAATAAGTCGTCGACGGAAGGTTGGGATGACGTGATACCACAATGTCTGTTAGCTTACCGCTCATCAGTGCACGGATCTACAGGATTTTCACCGGCGACCCTACTTTTTGGGCATGAATTGCGCCTACCCGTTGAGCTGCAAATACCGCTGTTACCATGCGAGATCCAAGATCATGTAGTATACATCCGTAATCTTCGCAGCCGCCTAGCCGACGCCTATCGCTTAGTGAAGATCAACCTACAAAATGCCAGCAAGCACCAAAAGGACGTGTACGATCGCAAGACGAACGGACCTGTGTATAAACCCGGAGATCGCGTGTGGCTGCACCGCCCTTTGGCTCCACCGGGGACATGCAGCAAGTTCCATCACCCTTGGCAAGGACCTTACGAAGTTGTGTTTATGCGGTCCCCCACTACATTCGTCTTACGTAACCTCCAACGACCCCAAGACGATGTTATAACAGTACACTACAATCAATTAAAGCCAGACAAGACAACGGTGCACTTAGATACCCCGTTTGTCAACCCCCCGACTGCCGTCAGCCATTATGAAGTGCCACCAGAAGGAGGGGTAGCATACCCATGTCCAGCACCAGGCACTGAGGACAGTGCCTCATGAAGAGAGGGGATAGTGTAACAGTATCGAAAGTCATTACGTGTAACTTTATTAATGCAGGTTTGTTTTCCTTATTGCAGGACAACAGAAAGTGAACGTATTAGAAGAAGAAGAACAAAGCTTGCGCAAACTAAACCTGCTGGATGATGAGTAAAACTATTTTGTAACAGACTTCTCTTTTTGTACAAAAACCGCGTATTTCAATTTCTAATATATCTCTGTTGTGCTCGCACGCCGTGTTCTCACTTGAGTGGCATCTGCCAGTCCTGACTGTTGTGTTGTGTTTCAGATTGCTCCTGCCTCCAGGTAAACGCTAAGAATACGTGCTACAGCATTTAGAATTCGAAATCAAGCATTCAACCAGTATAAAGGTATCATTAGTTCATTCAAACACCACAGGTCAGCATTGATTTCAAAGACTTACAGGAATATTTATTTTGGGGACTTATTTAACGCTACACACCGATGGTTTCCTAAATAAAAGGGTGCAAGTACCGCAGTCGAATTGATTCACTTAGTAATACTGTTTTCCTCATTAAGCGGTAGATGCAGAGACCTAGAACCGCGCTGCAATAACAAGAAGTGGGTTGAGGGAATTTAGTCATTTTTTATCAGCTCATCACAATCATATTAAGTATTGGAATGTACCTCCGAGGAATTAGCATTCGTCTGGTCAATGAATCTTCTTAGATAAAACCTGGTCTCCAAATAGATAATAAGTGAGAGATTTAAGACTGATCAGCAAATCTACTAATTATACCATTTACGTAAAAAATTATTGACTTTGACTAACGACCGGTAGCCCTTCTTTCTATACCCTCAAAAATTATGGAGTCCCTGATATGCGATGATATACGCGATTATTTTTTAACCTCAAACTTCTTTTCACCCCAACAGCACGGTTTCAGGAAGGGTCATTCTTGTACAACCAACCTGCTGACTGTGGTGGGTAGATGAACGACTATCCTCGATCGCAAGGGAAGGTTGCTGCCATTTACCTAGACTTATCAAAAGCTTTTGATAGGGTCAACCATACATGTCGCATTAATAAGCTCGAACGATTGGGTATCAGACCACCTCTAATTGATTGGCTCATTTCATATCTAAAAAATCGACAGTTTGAGGTCAGGTTAACTTCACTTTCTCTCAGGCTATGGAATGTTCTAGTGGGGTTTCCCAGGGTTCACTGCTAGAACCTCTTCTTTTCTTGATTTGCATGAACGATCTTACACAACAGGCATCGTCTGACCCATTACTTTTTACTGATGATATGAAACTTTGGAGAGAGATACTCAACCAAGAGGATATACTAGCACTTGAGGAGGATCTGACTCGACTTCAAAGTTGATCAGATGACAACGAACATACCTTTAACACTTCAAAGTGTAAGGTAGTCCATCTGAGACATATTGCAGACTACAGTTACAACTTAGGAAACCCTCTCTATCCTAGGTTGAGAAAAATTTAGGAGTGCTGGTGCCCTACGACTTGAAGTCTTACGCAGTGACAAAAACGCCTTTCGAGCAAACTTTGCAATGGTAACAATGAAGCGCATTGTCGTCCAGCTTGACGCTAGAACTTTCCACATGATCCTCAACAGCTTTATTCGACCCAATTTGGAGTACGGAAACAGTATTTCCTTCCCCACTCCAAAAGGATAAGGACACGAACGAGCCGCGAAATCAGTTCGGGGACTCAAATCTAAGCCTTATGAAGAGCGCCCTCAATCACTAAACCTTTACCCATTAGAGTGCAGGCGTCTCGGAGGTGACCTTCTAACGGCTTACGATATTCTGAACACTTCTGGACATCCTCTTAAACACCCACTTAAGTTTAGCTCCAACACAAACCTAAGAGGTGACACCCGGAAACTGGAGGCATAACACAGCAGAACGGGCTGTAGACAAAACTTCAATCCCAAAGAGTTGTTAAATGCTGGAATTCGTTGCCGGCTGAGCTAGTCCAAGCGACTTCCCAGGAGTCCTTTAAGAGGTTACTTGACCTATTCTTAAGGACTAAGGATAATATCTTACCATGATTTACCTATTTATTTTTCCCCTATTATCGTTAATATACCTAGGTTCCTGCCTGGAGGTATTGGCGATCCCCTGCTACTAGACACGGAAGCCCGTTGAGCGAAAGCTTCTTCTATTCCGTCCATAACCTTTTGAACCATTTGTATATTGGACAACTACAGTGCTAACTTTGGGTTTTGTGCGCTACCTTGTTGTGTTATGGATTCTTATGATGTTATAACAAACCAACCTGTCGTTATAGATATAGTGAGTAAAACCAGTTTTTATGATAATCTCTACCCCTCCTATTTATTAACTAATTTTGACCTAATAAATATCTGGTTGGTAGTTAAGGTGAAGTTAATTCCACTGTTACTACGTAGAATTTACATTCAAGTTAAAAAAGCATATACTCTTCCTAGCCAAATTATCAGTGTATAAACAACAGTTCTTACCAGCAAAGTCTGATCCATAATGTTCGAAATAACCATCTAACTTAGCGATTAGTTTGATGTAAAGTACATCAATGAGTAAGCCACACGCAGCCATAACGACGATTGTTAATATCCAAGAATCAAAATTGCATGAAGCCGGTTTATATTCTTCCCCAAAACTTTCACGATTGAAGGAGGTAACCATTTTTCTAAGCTTACTATTTTCCGCAACATATTTTCAGTTTGTGCTTCATGTAATGCAAATTTACGGCAGAATCACAACAAAAATATAACCCTCAGAAGCCCTTTATGTTAAGAGTTTCGTGTGCAGCAGTTTTGAGCTTCTAGTCAATGAGTCCTCCAAAATTGGACTTACAACTTTCACGTTTTGCAGTTATTATTGTACTAATTCTTTGTGAAAAGTAGTAAGCATGTATATGTCTTCACAAAAGTCCCTGTTAACATCCACTGTTAAAATTACTATTTGCGACCAAACACCAGTGAACCATAAATAGTTGTCACTTGCATGTCATAAGTAAAAACAAGCCAGACATGGATCACCAGCCTAGCGAGTAGTGCCATCAATATACATGTAATAGATCAGAAATTATACGTAGAAGCTTGACTCCTTATAAATCTCTAAACCTCAAAGTATACCTTCCATTCTAATAGCTGGCCTGTACCGTTTTATTTCACAAACTTCTGCTTAGTGACTAGATACTGAAAAGTTGACATTCCGAGACTGGTTGTGTCAGCATAATTAAGGAGACGTATTCTGAATAAGACCATGGTTTTCTAACCAGCTATGACTTGCATTTAGTTTCAGATATTTACCTATAAGTATTAAATCAGGATCCACTATTTACCACTAAATACCAGTCTTTTAGTGATCCATTTCAAAGACATCATTATAAATTGTGAGTTTAGCTGATAAGAGGGCAAGTTTATTGTCTTCATAGGACAGAAATGACTTAATGTTAATTTAAATACACAATGCTTAGTTGTTGTATCAACGGTGTGTACATTGTAATTTAGTAAAGCCTCGTTCCCTTTAGTTCGTTGGGAATTAACTTCCAGGAAAATTATCCCATTATAATTGCAATGGATTATTGTCAGTCAGTCACAACGTAGAATTTGGTATGTATGTACATCGGCTCAAGTCACCGTACCTTACTAGCATAGTGAGATGAAATTTCAAGACCGAATCCCAGAATAGTAGAGAATTATATGTAATTTTATGGTGTTCAAATATCCACGGAGTTTATTTTTGATTACTAAGTCGTTGTCCATCAAGGCCAGCTCGTTTGGTAGTCAACAAGTATCGATAACGCAGAAGCTATGCGAAGTTGTTTAAGGGATTGTTTGTGCCTCTGCCCCAGAGGGGAATTAATCTCAAGTTATTTAGTCTTTAATTTAATACTAAATGACCGATTGAAAAGCTTAAACAATTCATAAGTCACCTTACGAATACTTACACCTTTTGGTTTAATTAATTTGTAACACCTGATTCCTTACGTGTAATCTGTTTTCGTTTACTATTCTTGGTCAGAAAATTCTTCGAGTCGTTTTTAAAGCGACTGAAGTAAAGTGGTCTTAGCATTTTATATGTCAAACTAAGGGACTCACTGACAAACTTCATTCTTTCTATAATTTTTAGAACATTTCGAAAAGGTATTTTCACTTATTCAAATTAAGGTAGGAGCCATACGATTAGCTTTTATTTCTTAAATCACACAATATTAAAACTAATTAATCAGTCATAAGAGCTTTTCTTAAACTTTTTCCCACAATTCTTGTGAGAACTAAGGATAATATCCCGTTGCTCGGAATAAAGCAGGTGTGATGGTGTTCAACCTAGATTTTAAATAGTTCAGCATATTGACGAAAATAGTTGTAAAAAGGTAAGTTATTGTAAGTTTGCTCTATTCTCAAACGAATGCAATCCTCAGATCCTAGATCAAAAAACCACTCTGGTGTGGTACGCTAACTCGAGCAACAAATACAACACGTTTCTCGTGGTACCGTTCTACCCAAAAGACCTTCGGTGGCAACTCGATCAACGATCGCTTCCTGTTGTGCCAACCTTTTTGTCCTACAGTCGCACATCTGCCGATCAGTCCCACGAACAAAATCGCTACGTATCAAAAGAGAAATCCCTTTCTAGCAAGGGGCTCCTGTAGTGACCTCCGTTTATGAAAAGAACGTAATTGGTATAATAGAAACAATTATTATTATAACCAATTGTACCAGTAATTGTTTTACTGTACCTGTTTTTTTAAGTGTACTAAAAACACACATTCTTCCGTTGTTTTTGGCGTTTCACGAACTCGGTTACGCTCAGTAATCCCACTTGTATACTTTGGCACGATCTCGGTATTATTTCGATACCACGAGGTCGCCAACAAATACATCCTACTACAACATTCAATTACTTTCTGATATTTGGCTTACGGAGGGATCTAACTTAGTAACTGCCATGGAGTCTTCCTGTAGTGGTGATCACAGTCAACCGCGACTCCACGCCTACTACATCTGGTGAGCCAAAACTGCGAACACATTTCAACCGCTAGAAAACCTCCCAAAGAACACTGTCACGGCGAGTCTATTATCTATCTATCCACTCTTGTTGCACATTTTCGTATTGATATTTCTCAATATATAAAATCCGGGCAACAACTTGATATGGTGGATAACGATAAGAGTGGTATTAATATAATAGACTCCGAGGTACAGGTCATCAATTTCCGACCTGTCTCTTTTATTCCCCATGATCCAGAAGTTTGGTTCGCGGCTCTGGAGTCTTAATTTGAGATCCGCCGCATAACGAATCAACGGCAGAAATATGCTTACGCTCTGAAAACGTCACCCGGGGATCACATCACTGCTGTTCGTATTTTTTATTTGAACACATGAATATTGGTACAAGAGGGCACCAAATATATATGCGCCACACTTTGTGTGAGGGCTGTGGTACTGCCCGGGTGCTCAGACCAAAACAGGTGGTTTTCTTAGGGGGCCACACCCCGAGCCTTTGATCTAAAGGTCTAACCCACAAGGCAGTAGAGCATCGTGAGGAGATGGAGTCCCATGGTAGCCGGCGACCAACGATTGGTTCATATGCCATTTGTTCCCCCAGGATACTGGAGCCCATGTGCACCATTGATTTGGTTTGGGATCCGGTTAAAGGGCCGGACATTCATTTTTCGTAAACAACACCCCCGCCACGAGAAAGCAGTGAGTAGGACTTCCCTTGCAGAGGCTGTGTACGCGTGGTCGTGTAAGAGCATTTCAAGAGGGAGGACAGGCCCACCCCACTTTCGGCCATACCAGGGCATTTGGGGGCTGTTCGTAAGATTGTCCTCAACCCGAATGTACCTAACGTTTATGATCGTCTCAAGGAGGCGATCCTCAGACATTTCCTCCCATCGAGGGAGGAACGCTCGAGGACACTATTAGCACGTTACCTCCTGGGTGACGCTAAACCGAGCCATCACCTCACGCGCCTGCAACCTCTCACAGGACCTACGATAGCGGATTCTGAAATCGTTAAAGGATTATGGCTTGAACCTCTTCCAGTACATATACAACCAACGATTACGGCTCTGCTCGAGGATACACCACTTAACCAGGTGGCCCTTATAGTAGATAAGATACTGGCAAGGACTAGCACCCGAGACGACTATATAGTTGCCTCAACATCACGCTCGAACGTAGATCTCGACGCTAGTCGCCTTTCGGCTCAGGGTGATAGGGGTAGCTGTATTCATACCCGTCTCAATTTTCGAAACAGCTCCAATATACCAGAACCTTGCGTCCCCGAGTCAGGTCACGCTCCCGTAAAGCCGACTTCCATGGGACTGCATCTCTACGATGCTCCACTGCCTTGTGGATTAGACCTTCAGGTCGAAGGCTCGGGGAGTGGCCCCCTAAGAAAACCACCTGCTTCGGTTTGGGCACCCAGGCAGTATCACAGCCCTATTATTTTATTTATTTATTTATTTTAACACAGATATTGGTACAAGGAGGCACCAAATACATATGCGCTACACAAATCTCGTTCGATATGTGTGAGGGCCCTCATAGATATCGAATGAGATTTGTGTGGCCCATATGTATTTGGTGCCTCCTTGTACCAATATCTATGTGTTAAATAATAAATAAATAAAGCCGTAACTACTCGCCCTAAGCGGGCATCTCCCAAGCCACGCCAAAAAGACGGCTTCAGAAATGAGTACGGGTTGGTGCTGGTTCCATCGTCCCTTCGGGTCCGGTGCCCACCGCTGTCGAGACCCTGCTCATACAAGGCGGGAAACTCCCAAACCGGCGAGTAAATGTGGCCGAACTTGCCTGCCCTTCGCCTCAGATTGGCCGTTTATTTTGTGTGCACGATTATCGCACTAACGCTAGGTACCTAGTAGATACATGTTCCCAAGTTTCTGTCGTACCTATCGGTAACAGTAAGTCTGAAGCTACGATGCTTCGACTACGCGCTGCGGATGACTCAGTCATTCCTACCTGTGGTACACGACAGCTTACGGTCAACCTGGGCAACCGACGACAGTATCCTTGGGCGTTCATCATTGCCGATGTTCCCACAGCCATGCTCGTATAACGTGCGAACCATATGAGATGGTAAGGCCCAACGACTGTGAGAAGGACGAATAATACCAGTAGCTTGTAAATTGTCAAACTCACGTTTAGCGAAAGCTAATTTGTCCGGTGCGCAAAGGATGGTGTTAGTTGGAGACCATACGGCGACTACAGAGCATTAAACGTAGTTACACGTTTTGATATCTAACCCATCCCCCACATACACGACATCACTCAAGGGCATGACTACTTTTTCTAAGATCGATCTGGTACGAGCATATCATCAGATCCCAGTCGCTCTTGAAGATATCGAAAAACCGCTATCACGACTCCTATCGACCTGTTTGAGTTTCTACGAATGCCATTTGGATTACGGAATGCTAGTAGCTAGTAAATTGTCAAACTCACGTTTAGAGAAAGCTAATTTGTCCGGTGCCAGTCGGCGAGGTTTTGTCATGACTGGGGGTCCGCGGGTGACTATGTGGTATACCACACGTTGGACACGTACCCACCACCCCGCTTGGGTGGAAAAAAGGGCAAAAGAACCAGAAGGAAACAATAAGGAGTGAGATCTTTCGATTTAAAGATTGTGTGAGGAAACGTGCAGGCTACTTATTAAGGCTTTCAAAGGAATGAGAATTATTAATTAGCTTATACCTATTCACTTTCCAGCTCTTCTTGACATATTTGGATTTCTTTTGTATCATCGTTTTTATGTGTGGTGTTCAGTTGTGTAGTAATTTGACTCTTCACACCTTGTCCAAATAAGAAAAAATACCCAAAAACATTCTTATTCAAATAACATCATTTTCAACTCAGAATGCTTGTCTTACATCAGTACGACAAAACTCAGTGTTGAACTGCACTATATTCTTATCCTTGGATTAAAAACCAACAGTTTACACAGCTCTGTATTGTCCATGTCAATTAAATCGGATAAGTGACCTCCATCATCACAAAAATCACTCGACATTTGATCAATAACAAACTTAAAACCCACTTTTTTGTAACTTTTACCAGTAAGAACATTATTGCTCTATTAATTGAAGCTGTTAAATAGAAGACCTATATATTGACTATTACTCTGATTAACAATTTAATTTGCATTAGAATTCGTAACAAATCTAATCTATCTTCTTCGATCAGTACCACATATTTCAGTAATTGACCACCACCTATATGTGTTTCATATTATCTAAAAGTTCACGTTGAACTTTTATTATTTCTCTACTTTTAGGGTACAGGTATATTGAAAGCAGGTTTCGCAGGTGATCAAGTACCAAAGTACCGATTTCCAAATTAGTAAGTTAATTGGTTGGTTTACATCTAATGTCCCCCCTTCCCTCTTTAAAGTATTGGCCGTCCAAAACATGTTAGAGTTATGGCAGGTGCTCTTGAAGGTGATGATTTTATTGGTCCTAAAGCAGAGGAACATCGTGGTTTATTAAGTATACGATATCCTATTGAACATGGTATTATTCGTGACTGGAATGATATGGAACGTATTTGGGCTTATATATATGGCAAAGATCAATTGATGGTCAATAGTGAAGAACATCCAGTTTTATTGACAGAAGCTCCACACAATCCAAAAAGAAATAGAGAGAAAATGGCAGAAATATTCTTTGAAACTTTTAGTGTACCTGCGCTTTACATTTCAATGCAAGCGGTATTAAGTTTGTAAGTCATCGATTTTATATAGACGATTATATGATACATTGTTTCTCTACTATAATTGCTTACGTTCGTAATTATTTTGAATTGTAGTAGTTTCCTTAAAAATAACTACCAACGATATCAAACTTAAATAAAATTCTCTAAACTTGATTTTTGTAGACCGTAACCTAGTTTTAATATCATCGCACGAGACTTCAAGGCAAAAGTGGTACCAAATGATCAGGTCCCTATTACCAGTCCTTTACTTTTAGTCACTGTCAAAATTAACCGACAAGAAAGATGTATTTTCACTAGTTATTCCCACTCTTTGAAGAATTACAGCTCTGATACAGTAAAGAACGAGTTTTAATTGCCAATAAAGTGATTTTTACTACAAAACTCATTCGAAAAATATTGTGGTTCCAGTTGCAGACCTGAATATCCAGACTAGGTGTTCGAATATATATTTATTAATTATTATTTATTAAAACACATAAACATTGGTACAAAGGTACACTGAATACATATGCGCTACATAAGTCACTTGATTTGTGTGTGGGGTGTGATACTGCTCGGTTGCCCAGATCGAGGCAGGTGGTTTCATTAGGGGGTCACTTTTCGGACCTTTGACCTAAAGGTCTAATCCACAAGGCAGTGGAGCATCGTAAGGAGATGCAATCCCATGGTAGCCGGTAGCCAACAATAGGTCCATACGCCATCTGTTCCCTCAAGACCCTGGAGCCCATGTGTACCATTGGTTTGTAATCATGGTTCTCCAACTCCCGGTTAAAGAGCCAGACACTCGCTTTTCATCCTCTAAATCTGGTAAACGACGCGAGAAGGCAGCGAGTGGGACTTCCCCAACAGTGGCTGTATACCCGTGAGTATGTGAGAGCTGACTCTCCCCACCCTTGACCATACCAGGGCATTTGGGGGTGAATACATACTCAGTTTGGAACCACACTCTAGGTCTAAGAACTAGTGATACTACCTGACCGCTTAAACTGAGATGGATAAAGTAACACAATTTAAACTTGAAATTTACTGGTTGAAAGTCAAGTACTTCAATCACTAAGCCTAAGCCATGACTCCAGTATTAAGTGTTGACTTGGTACTTTGTGTGCCCAAAGTGTGATCGACCAATCAACTCGGTAATTAAATAAAAATCCGCTTATTAAATTGTTCAATTATGTAGATAAAATGAGATTTCACTGCTTCAGTCAGTTTCAATACTATTGTAGGTGGAAGAGTCCTTGCTACTTCTTGATTATTACTGAATATGTTTATCAATTCAACTCAGTAGCCAAGTTACTATGCTACTTGATTTTCAACCAAACTTTTAAAGTACTTAATCTACAATCACTGTGTTGTAGATTAATTACATTAACCACCCTAAATACCACCACGCCTAAAACTATTAACAAAATAAGCATCTATTTGGCATACCCAGGTTTTTATCGACTATTCGTCTGTAATAAATACATGACTAATTTCCTGTTAAAATTAATTAAATTCTTTATGATTTATAGAAGTGTGGCATATATTAACTTGTCTTTTTTTCAATAGTTGAGATCATGAGTCAATTGAAACTAGACCACCATGGAAAATCTGGAAGCACTTCAACTAGTTGAATTTAGACATTAACACCGTTGGATGCCGGCAAGTTCAGTGGTCTAGTGGTTAAGCGCTCACACGCGAGACCGATATGTCCTGAGTTCGAATCCCGAGAGGCGGGGTCGTGCATGCGCACTGCCGAGGAGTCCCGTAATAGGACGAAACAGCCATTCAGTGCTTCCAGGTTTTCCATGGTGGTCTAGCTTGAATTGACTCTTGATCTCAACTATTGAAATTACTACAATCTCTGCAAAACCCCTTCTGATACTTATCTTTTTTCTCGTTTTAAAAACATAAAAATCAGATATTCCACTGGACGAACCACAGGTGTTGTATTAGATTCAGGTGATGGTGTAACTCATGCTGTACCTATCTATGAAGGTTATGCTCTTCCACATGCTATTGAACGTACAGATTTAGCTGGTCGAGATGTAACACGTTTTTTACGTTTATTATTACGTAAAGAAGGTGCTGACTTTCATACAACATCAGAATTTGAAATTGTTCGCCAAATAAAGGTAATTAAATTAATGGAGGTTTAACTGTAGAAAATTAGTTTCTTATTCTGTCAAGTGATTTTATGGGTGTTTTATATGGTTCAATAGAGAGATCTGTTTTACAATTTTAATAATTAATCAAAGCTGTCTTTCATGAACGACCAGTGTCGGACGAGGCTGCTTACTCTCCCGCTTTCCCTTATCTCTGATGGTTGACTGAATTATGAATATCTTCACAACTCAGGGGTAGCTCGGAATACAATGGACAGGTCGGATGCAACTAGACAATTTGAACTTGATAGATGAATCAGCTCTTCTATTCTATACACACGAACATATGCAGATGAAGACAACCAGTGTAACAGCAATCTCTGCATCAGTAGTCCTCAATATGCGTAAGGGAAAAACCAAGATCATCAAATACAGCACGGAGAGCACCAAGTTAATCACACTTGGTGGAGAAACTCTGGAAGACGTGGAAACTTTCACGTATCTAGTCAGTATCATCGGTGAACAGGGAGGGTCTGATGCAGATTTGAAGGCAAAGACCGGCAAGTAAAGGTGGCATTCCTACAGTTGAAGAACATACGGAACTCAAAACAACTGTCACAATCTTCAATATGAACGTCAAGACAGTTCTACTGCAAGGAGCTGAAACTTCGAAAACTACCACGACTATAATCAAAAAATGTACAAGTATTTATGAACATTTGTCTACACAAAACACTCGATGTCTGCTGACCGGATACTATTACCGACAGCCTACTATGTGAGAGAATAAACCAGCTTCTAACTGAAGAGGAAATTAGGAAAAGATGTTGGAAGTGGATAGGATACACATTGAGGAAATCATCAAACTGCATCACGAAGCAAGTAATAACTTAGAATCCTGAAGGCATACAGAAAAGATGAAGATCAAAGAACACACTGCATCAAGAATTGGAAATGGATGAATAGCAACTGGAAACAACTGAAAAGGATTGTCCAGAATAGAGTTGGATGGAGAATGGTGGTGGGCGACCTATGCTCCTTCACGAGGGTTAACAGACGTAGGTAAGTAAATCCCTTCATGAAGAAATGATAGACAACAACGAATGTGTATGATTATGATATTTTACAGAATATACAAATACTGCGATTAATTTACGAGGACCAGAGCATGAAGACAGCTAAAATGTCGTTTTGTATGTAAGAAAAAAGTTCATATCAATAGAATGCTGGATAGTTTATTGATAAGGTGACTTAAATCATTATTGATCCCTAGTTGACGTTAGATATTTCCTAAAGTAATCCTTTTTTGTAATTGAATTATTTATTTATTTAAACACATAAACATTGGTACAAGGAGGCACCAAATAGATGTGCGCCACTTAAGTCACTTGATTTGTATGAGGGCTGGGATACTGCCTGGGTGCCCAAACCAAAGCAGGCGGTTTTCTTAAGGGGTCACATCCAGAGCCTTCAACTTAAAGGTCTAATCCACAAGGCAGTAAAACAATGTAAGGAGATGCAGTCCCATGGTAATTGAATTAATTGGACAACATTGATGTTCATAACAAGTTTAATAGATTGTTTATAGGAAATGAGACTTAGTATATACTTTATAATAAATGGATTTTTGAATAAGTTGAATGTATAATTCAAATAAACAACTACACATATTTTAACAAAAAATTTACTTCGATAAAACTTAACAATGAATCATCTGAATTAGTAAAAAGTAATGAATAGAATTATTTACATATTTATTATTATTTTATTTGAACATATAAATATTGGTACAAGGGGGCACCAAATAGATATACACCACACAAATCTGACGAGATTTGTGTGAGGGCTGTGATACTGCCCGGGTGCCCAAACCGAAACAGATGGTTTTCTTAGGGAGGCACACCCGGAGCCTTCGACCTGGAGGTCTAGTCCACAAGACAGTGGAGCAACGTCAGGAGATACAGTCCCATGGTAGCCGATGACTAGCAGTAGGTTCATACGCAATTTGTTTCCTCAGGATCCTGGAGCCAGCCCATGTGCACCGCTGGTTTGAAATCAGGGTTTCCCAACTCCCCTAGGTGGGCTCTCTACGTCCACCAACCCGGTTAAAGCGCCGGAGTTTCAATTTCGTAAACAACACCAGTGGTGTGAGAAGGCAGTGAGTAGGAATTTCCTGACATCGTTTGTATACGCGTGGCCATATGAGAGCATTTGAGGAGATCTGACTCTCCCCACTCTCGGCCGTACCAGGGTATTTGGAAGCCATAAGGTATGTGTATGGTTTAGGCGAATAATATGTGAGTGTTAAAAATGATTCAACGATTACCACTATTGATAAGAGAAAAGGCTGAATAAGGTTTTTCTTTTCCGATCTTCACTTATTTAGGTTATATCAATCCACTAGAAGATATAAACACCATGTTCAGTTCATTTTGTATTGTTTGTTTGAATCTTCCCATTGATGTTTTAGGATTGCGATCGATCAGTCTCTTATTGACATATGTGCATCTTGTGAGGATTGCCTTCGTTCTATTTTAGACTTGTCAGCCGGATTTAACTGCATACTTATGACTTAAGGCAATCCACATAGGATGTACATATGCCAATAAGAGACTGATCGATTGCAGTCGTGAACACCAATGAGAAGATTCAAACGAACAATATCAAGTGAATTTAAACTTCACCCCATTTCACAAGCAAGTGGCTATCTGAACTCAGTAGCTAAGTGAATAACACGGTGGCGTTTGAAGCGAACGGTACTAGGTTCGAGTCATGGAGTGAACATCAACTCTGAGACGCAGGTACATCCAGTTGACGTGTCCCAAATAGGACGAAATGACGCGCGTCGTGGATTCCACTGCTAGCCACTATCCATCTTTGCTTATGATCATATTCAGTGTTATTAACAGACCTAGTCTAAGACAATAACAGAAATTCCTAAGTTTCATTGATTCTTCCTAGTTGATATAAGTTCGTGACATGAAGTATTTTAAAAAAGTGTTTGAATAAATTTACATTAAAGAAATACTCCTTAACTAAACTTCTTTTTTATAACCATAACTAAGTATCACAAGAGGTTTTTGTGGATATTATAGTAATTTCAATAATTGAGACTTTTATTATTATTAATAATGGAAGCACTGGACGACCGTTTCGTCATAGTATAGAACTCCTCAGCAGTTCACATCCACGATCCAGCCTCGCGAGATTCGAACTGAGGACCTATCGGTCTTTCGCTCGAAATTGAGCGATATATCCATCATTGTCTTCAGTGAGTCACTATCTCACAGTAGTTAAATCTTTTAATTTCCAACCAGTGAGTCATACATTCAAGTCGGTCTGTATTTACTTCGGTTTGGAGTAAGGAAAGATACATCAAATGTAACTCAGTCAAGAATACTAACATGTACATCTTCATAATTTATTTAATTCTCTCTTCACTTTTCTTAATTTTTGGTAATAATTAGGAACGTGCATGTTTTATTAGTTTAAATCCAAGTAAAGTTGAAGCAATGGAAGCATTAGCTTCATATCCATTACCAGATGGTTCTACATTAGAAATTGGTCCAGCACGTTTTCGTGCACCAGAATTATTATTTCGACCAGATTTAATGGGTCAAGAATATTTTGGTATTCATCAAGTAAATTTGATTCATAATTAATTTTTTCTATTGTTTTATACTTTTTACACCATTAATGGTAGTATCCGTTTAGTTAACTCTTTATAAGCATTTAGTGTTTCTTACCCTTATGATTTGTATGAGTATTATTAATTTAAAACAGTGTAAATGTGTAATCATGTTACGTTCTAAGAAATGACGATATCACCTAAACCGGTGAACGGAAGGAATGGTCAGCAACACAATAGGACAAGTTAGACTCTTCCACTGCTCCTCAGTTCTGCTAACTAGAAGGAGAAGATCAGATTCAGCCAAGGGAAATGTATATTCCACGGACAGTCGGAAGCACAAACAAACAAGTACACAACTAATGCATATATATATATATATATATATATACCGTACTACAGTATTCTTGAAAAAGCATCACAAGATAGCGTAGTAAAAGAAGAACAAACAAACCAATAATATTTAAGATCCTTTAGTGGCCCGTTTATCTGACTCCAAGATCCTACGAATGATTGTTGTCGCCTATTCTCGTATATAATCGTCGACTCAAATCGCGTTAGCCAATAACGGAATTAAATAAGTCGAATAACGAGAATTGATTTGTGAATACATATATTTTGTATATGAAGCGAGTGAAGCAAAGCAAAATGACACCCAGGGAAGATGGCTGGGAAGCCAACTCCATTTTAGTCAAGCGTTACTCAATATTTATAGTCAGACAAATAAAGCTACAGACATGTGATTAATGGGATAAGAGGGGCACACATATATACGCTCATATAAAAACAGTCTAGATTGATAAGCGAATAAATAACAAGGCCAAAATATGGCTCAAGTAGAATGAATAGAATGGGATGTCCGAATGCTAGAGTAAGGTATATGGGCTTAATATAATAACTGGCACTACAATCCTTCCAAGTTGGAAATACAAACTTAGGGTAAAAATGGGCGCTTTTATCGCAAAAATGAGACATTTACCAAATGAGTTCTGAGGATCTAGCATCCCCAACAAGCCATTCAAAATGAAAGGAATCCAAAAGACACAAATAGTTTAATGTAGATATCTATAATAAAATCACAAGTTATTTACTGTTGTTGCAAAGAAGTTCTAAACTAAAATGAAACAATCGCCCAAGGCTTCGTGTTTATTATTAATGGTTATTCCAGCCTAAGTCAATTAGTGATATATAACTTAATATTCAATAATCTCTATAACACTCTATCATTACTAAAAAGAAGTACAATACATAATTAATTCACATTGGTAAACTTATCAAAAATCAAAATATTCAATTCAATACTCCTCTCATATCATATGATCCATGATTGTTTTTAAAAAAGAAATGATAATATCAGTTACCTTTGTGTACCACTTTAACATTCCATCATGGATATGATGTAACCATTAAGCGAATAATTTCAGTATTAAGATCCATTGATTGATTGTATATACTCTTATCGGTATGTATGGTTCAATACCTTCTATGATGTAAAATCTAGGTTATGTGTTACGAACAATTTAAATGATGTCTCCATTCAGGAAGTTGATATAGTGAACCAATTAGAAGTAGCCGAATGTAAAAGTCAATTTTGCTAAATAACAAATAAATTCCATTAGCTGAGAAATGGATTGATTTTCTAAAGAGTAGAAATATATATACATATATATAATTTGGTACCCCAAAAGACTTTCCCCTGCATTCTTGTCTTCTTGCTCAGTAGTTATTCGGTGGGGAGGTTAATACGTATGACATTGTGTATCAGTATCAGATCTCGAATACCACACTTCATTACAGAGGTCATTAACTGTTAGTTGAAGCCGTGTACAGAACTACAAATTAATTGTCATCTTTTCCACTACAATACAATCAAAACGGTGCTACAACAGGTTACCAAGAGATACACCCCGACAAGAAAATCTTACTTACTTACGTCTGTTACTCCCAATGGAGCATAGGCCGCAGACCAGCATTCTCCAACCCACTCTGTCTTGGGCCTTCCCTTCCAGTTCTGTCCAAATTTTGTTCATTTCTCTCATATCTATCTCCATTACTCGGTGTAATGTGTTCTTTGGTCTTCCTCTTTTCCGTGGGCCTTGAGGATTTCGAGTGATGACGGCTTGCCTTGTAACACAGTTAAGTGCTTTCCTCAATGTGTGTCCTATCCACTTCCAGCGCTTCTTCCTAATTTCTTCCTCCGTTGGGATCTGGTTTGTTTTCTCCTACATTAGGTTGTTGTTGATAGTGTCCGGCCAATGAATCCGAAGTATTTTGCGTAGACAGCTGTTAATAAACACTTGTATCTTCTGGATGATGGTATTTCATTTAAATCACCATAAATAGTATACATTTTTTAAATAAAAAAGCAGCTTAAATACAATCAAAACGGATTTTGGTGAGACTATAATTTATGGAGGACCTTTGAGCAACGTTAAAGTGACCCTGAGAATATCCACCTACTAACTAGGGCTAAATGGAGTTATAAACCTGTGTGAAGAATAAGGATTATGATTTACAATTGATGGTTAGAGTTAAGAATTAGATTTAGGCTTTTCATCACGAACCAACATCAGTTAAAATGCCAAGACGCTATTTAGCCAAATGGATGAATGAATTTGACGACAAAAATCCGAGATCTGTTCTCCTAAATTTGATTGGTTCGTTCATAAATTATAGTCTCGCTAATAACGTGAAGTATGAAAACTTCTGGAATTACATGTGTAAACTGCCTTCCATTTATAAAATATCATTATTACTATGCTCAAATACATGTTCTTAGATTTTGGAATTCCCTATACAATAGCATTATTAAACATGAGTACTCATTGTCAAACAACTATTATCTAACACAGAAACTCTTCTCGTACTCTGTGCTCAAAGTAGTCACATTTGATGAATTAGTAACAAAAGTGCTCTCACTAATGTATTGTACTCCAAGATTGTAACTATGACTTTCACAATACGTAGAATTATCTTATCTGCCATAGCATTTACACAGATATATAAACTTCAAGACTACCTTCAAAGATTTACCCCTTATGGTAGATGCAGGTACATCTCTCAGTCAGTCATATAAAACTAATTTGCGTTTTAATAACCGAACGTACGGTTTAGCTGATGTGTATATTATTGAAGTGTAATAAAACATTGTCCATTTACTTAAAGTTCGAAAGTATTTTCTCAAGTCAACAGATTTATAATGATTATGAACTGGATGCTTTCATTAAGCCACATGAAACTTCACTTTCTACTTTCATGACTTCTTGCTAATGTAACCAATGTTCATTTACTCTTTTCAGCAAATTAAGTGCTAAATAATTCACTTACATTCATTTACTGACCATGGAAACGTAGCATTCCAATGCTTGGTCGACATTTCAATAGGTATTTTAAAAAGAGCCGTAGTTCTGTTCCTATTTACCTCATCGATGATTGATAACAATATGATCTATCTAAAATCATGCTTAGGTTTCAAAGGGAGGACTTCAAAAACACATTAGCAATAGCCATCAATAAGGAAAAACTGGTCAAGAATATCTTCCCTTATTCGTTCTCTTTAAACACCCAAACAACTATTCTCTATGCTTTAACTCTTGATTTGCACACTCAAGCTATCAATTGACTTCATAATATCTATCGAACGAAAAGAAAAGCAAAGTTGTGTTCCCTTTGTAATCAATCTATAAGTTATGAGTTTGAATATTGATTCCGTTCATAAAATCAGGTAGTATCTCTATGTCTCATACAGTAATTGTTATTAGAAACCTTTATACTTTATGATCAAGTTTTGTTAGCTTTTTCAAATCTTCAACCTTCGTTGCACAAACTATTCAGCTGAACATCGTTTCATTTCATTAGTAGTATTATTGGTTGTTTAAATGTCAGTGAGGAGGTGTAGAGACTGTTGAACTTCACTGAACTCATGCAACGATCTAAGTTGGACCGGCATTGAAAACGTGGAGGCACTAGACAGCTGTTTTGTCTCAGTATGGTATACTCGGCAGTGCATATCTACGACATTCCACCGAAGGGAATAGGACTCAAAACTTTCGGTCTCGCGCGAGAAATCTTGACCATTGGATTGGCATCCAACGGTGTTAATGTCTAGCATCTAGAAGTTAAGTGTTCTCTCGTGAGACCGAAAGCCCTGGGTTTGATTCCCGCGCTTAGGACTCTGGGTACCCACCCCTGAAGAGTCCAAGACTAGGACGAGATGGCCCTCCAGGTTCTCAGTGGTGGTCTGGTCCAGATCAATTCATGATTTCAATAAGATTGTTTATCTATTGGAAACATATTGTATGAGTATAACAATGTGCACATGTATAAATCTATAATGTTCTGCTTTCAGGTATTAGCTTATGCCATTCAAAATCCGATATGGATTTAAGACGTATGTTATATGAAAATATTGTACTGTCAGGCGGTTCGACGCTTTTCAAAGGTGAGTAAGTTTTCCATGTTTTATACCACGTATAGAACAGGCATTACTCTTAATATGTTATGTAACACTAAATTCCAACATATTTAGTTTGAATATTCTTCACGAAAGAAGAACTTAGTTTGATGCATTTTATTCAGTATCAGAAGATTTGCAACTATCTAGTTGAAAGTTCGAGCCCAGAATAGTACCGCTAGGCTTCACATAAAACATGTGGTTGAAATCCAGGTAGAGGAAATGTATAACTGGTGATTGACTTAAGTCTATACAATACTCTAACCAGGTGTATCCAGGATGTGTTTCATCATATTTAATCCTTATAAGCTTAAGACGTGGATATGTCTCGCCTAAATATTGTTGACTCATTAACGGAGTCGTAAGATGGTTGACACCATTTGATGAAACTGACTAGCTGCACTATCAGATTTTAAGTTTTTTTTTCTAAACTTTGCCAGTATCATCTAATTTGTATTTGTTATGAATGATTACTTTCGATAATGCAATGAGAAGATGAAGTTTATCAGGATTATGTGATGATATATTAGCGCAATACATTTCGAACAATCTGATCACACATCATCTACTTGTTAAGAACATTTATATATGAAATATTAAAAGGTCAACTAGACAGGTTAAGGGTAAGTCATAACAAAGGAAATCAGTGCTTACACTTAACCTACCCTGGTAGTACTGATTACTATCCAAGTGGTAATCACATTTGTTTTTGTGTACTTTAATATTTTTCCTTTGTTATGACTTACCCTTAACCTGTCTAGTTGACCTTTTAATTTTTCATATATAAATGCTCTTAACAAGTATATGTATGATCAGATTGTTCGAAATGTATTTCGCAAATATATCATCACATAATTCTGATAAACTTCATCTTCTCATTGCATTATCGTAATTTATCAAAGGGACTAATTGTTTTAAATTTATGAATGATTAGTTAGCTACAAATTTGTATATTGCGCAGCAGTCCACTCTGTTCTTCTTTATGTTTGTAGAACATGGTCTATCATAGTAGAAAATATGCGTACGCCGAAGGCTTTTAATCGTCGATGTCTTTGATATATTGCTCGATTTTATGGAATGACCGAGTGAGCAATGTTAAAGTATAGGTATATGGTACTTGTCATAAATGCCAAATCTTTCTCTGATGTAGCAAATCTTCATTCATTGAGATGGTTAGGATATGTGTTACTGATGCCTAGCCAGTGCCTCGTTGACCGAGTAATACTTATTCAGGAGTAGGTTAAAAGAAAGATAGGAGCGGTCAATCCTAAATATGTGGCATCAGTCTATAAAGTCATTAACTGTTGGTCTTAACCATATAAGTAGGTCCAGCCTATCTGGTTGGATTCTACGTGATTCTTGTGACCAGTATTTGGAGGAGCCTTTGAGGGATATAACTCAGAAGCGCTCATTTTCTTGTCTCCCCTTAGATCTTGAGTTTTAAGATTATTTCATCCCCTTCGCAAATTAATTCTACTTAATTTCTGTACTATCACTGACACTACCACTTGGATACTGATCTCAGTGGTGCTGATTTGGTGCGGTAACTTGTACGTTTCAGGTTCTACGTTGCTTTTGACTAAACGTTTTAATTATTATCTGATAGGTCGATTTACCATGAACGGAATGCATTTTTAAAATAAAATTCATTTACGAAACACAGGTTGGTGTATGCCATCAGGTTTGAGTCACAACATATATGAGAGCTGCCCCCAAATGCCCTGGTACGGCCAAGATTGGGGAGAGTCCGCTCTCCCTCTCGAAATCCTCCCACATGGCCACGCGTATATGGACTCTGACAGAGAATTCCTACTCACTGCCTTCTCACACCACGGGTGTTGTTTACGAAATTGTGGGGACGAAAAGCAAATGTCTGGCGCTGTAACCGGGTTGGTGGATATGGAGAGTCCACCTAGGGTAGTTGGAAAATCCTGATTCCAAACTAATGATACACATGGGCTGACTCCAGGATCCTGAAGGAACAAATGGCGTATGGACCTATTGTTGGTCACCGGCTACCATGGGACTGCATCTCCTTACGATGCTCCACTGCCTTGTGGATCAGACCTTCAGGTCGAAGGCTCCGGTGTGGCCTACTAAGAAAACCACCTACTTCGGTTTGGGCACCTGGCAGTATTACAGCCCTCACACAAATCAAATGAGATTTGTGTGGCGCATATGTATTTGGTTCCTCCTTTTACCAATATCTATGTGTTAAAATAAATAAAATGAGAGTTGATAAATTCTTAACCAACCACTTGAACTTAACTCAAACTTATTATGAACTTCAGTCCGATATATATCCACTTAATCGCGTCAATTGATTAAATAAAAAGTCCACTAATTACAAGTTTTCCCATGCTCCTGTCAGACTGGTAACCTCTTCAGTCAATAATAAAAACGTCAATATAGGGGTATAGAGATTATTAAATTTTCGATTGAGATCATAAACCGATTGATGTTAGAAGATGGTCGCACAATTTCGCGGATTAGCTGAGGTTAGACATTAACCCCGTTGGATACTGACTCAGTGGTCTAAAGGTTAAGTGTTCACGCGCGAGACTGAAGCCCTGGTTTTGAGTCCCTTTGGTTCGGGATCGTAGATGCGCACTGCTGGGGAGTCCCACAATGGGACGAAACGGCTGTCTAGTGCTTCCAGGTTTTCAATGATAGTCTAACATCACTCGGTTCCTGATCTCAATCAATTATAAAAAACGACCAGAAAATCGCAATTTGTAGACGATAAAGTCAGTAACTGTGATACAAAACTGAATAACAGAGGTTGATCGCTTGTTGCTAGGACAATATAAAAAGATCACAAACCAATTATTCAATAATAGTTTTAAAGATTTTATCTTTTTCAAACATCCTCTCTAATCTGATACTGGAATAAATAACCTGATGGTTTGAAGTCAAGTGTTTTCAGCACCATCATTTCTCACTCAGTCAGTTAGTCACAACATGGGCCCTGGTAAGTATGTACATCGGTTCAATTTGTCATACCCGATTAGCACAGCGAAATGACGTTGTCAGGTCAAATCTCAGAACATTAGAGATTGTAACAAATGACTGGCGATAGGAAAAAATTAACCATCAAAGATACGATTCAATAAAATATAAATTAATGAACTAAAAGAAATTATGAAGAATTCAAAGGTTTCATTTATTTGAACACATAGATATTGATACAAGGAGGCACCAAATACATATGCGCCACACAAATCTCATTTGATTTGTGTGAGGGCTGTAATACTGCCCGGGTGCCCAAAGCAGGTGGTTTTCTTAGGGGGTCACACCCCGAACCTTTGACCTAAAGGTTTGACCCACAAGGCAATGAAACATCGTGAGGAGATGCAGTCCCATGGTAGCCGGTGACCAACAGTAGGTTCATACGTCATGTGTTCCTTCAGAATCCTGGAGCCCATGTGCACCAACTCCCCTAGGTGTACTCTCCATATCCACCAACCCGGTTAAAGCGCCGGACATTCGTATCTCATCCTCTCAATTTGTAAACAACACCCGTGGTGTGAGAAGACAGTGTGTAGGGCTTGTGTGGCAGAGGCTATATACGCGTGTCCATGTGAGAGCATTTGGAGAGGGAGAGTTGACTCTCAGCCGTACCAGGGCATTCAAAGGTTTAGAATTTTGAAGGAAGACTGAGAATAGATGCACCTGAACTATTGCAAATGATTTTGAGTCATTTCATTTAGAGTCTCTAACCACTAGTTGCAATAACCATACAGACTTCAAACAGGGTAGTCTACACTTATTAACACATAATCTAGTTCAATGACTTCATGGACAACAACTACTACCAACTACAATTTTACATTTCAATGATTTTTTTCTGGTTAACGTTTTTTTAGCGAGTTAGTTTCCTACGGAATGGGGTCGTCAACCCTCCTCCTTTATCCAGTCTTGAGACCGGCATTAACCCTAGAGGGGGCTCCAGGTGGGGTTTTTTTAATGTTGAATAATCATTAAAGTGATAACATTCTCATTATCTTCTTTATATTTACTTTATTTAGGTTTTGGTGATCGTCTTGTTTTAGAATTAAAACGTTTAGCTCCAAAAGATGCACATTTACGAATATCTGCACCACAAGAACGTTTATATTCTACATGGATTGGTGGTTCTATTCTAGCATCATTAGATACATTTAAACGTATGTGGATATCTAAAAGAGAATATGACAGTGAAGGTGCACGTGTTCTACATCGTAAACTTCTTTAAACAATAAACAAAACACAATTATTCATTCTTTCATTTTTCTAATTGATCATCTCAATTGGGAACAACAACAACAACAAAAAGTATTACTAACTCAAAGGAAAATGGTTGTATGTGTTGTGTATATTCATGAATATAGGATCTGTATTTTCATTTAACACATGGACACACACACACAGTAACGTCTAATCTTTCTTGTTCTTCTCTTATTTACTTTGACCTATCCTACTTGTAAAACAACCATATTTATTGTCATCATAATGATAGTTGGATTATTTGTCATTCCTTTTAATTGTGCGTGTGTGCGGGAGGGGAGGGGTTTTATTTTTTGAAGCGACGTCCCAGTTTTTACACCAAGACCATAAACACCGTACGTATGTGTGTGTGTGTATGTATCCGTCCATATCTCTCACATGTTGTTTTCTATGTTTTCTTTCCTTAACTAGCAGTAATAACCTCCATATGTACTTCCATGTGAAAAAGTGAAAGAATTTCGGTTCTTCTCATTTTGTTCTGTTCTATTTTTTATTTATTAAAGGACCGTTTTAATTAAGAGAAAAAAGAAAAAAATTTAAAGAAACACTCTACTTAACCTTATCTTCTTCATCTATTGGTTAGTATCCATGGTGACTATTTCACTGTGTTTATTTATGAGTTGATTGTTTTTTTTTCTCTCCATAGAATAATCTATATTCATATAAAAAAATTTATTCTATAAATTAGTACAAACTTTATTCCATTTTAATTTTCGAGGTTATTGTTTCTAATATGAGAAAATGTTCAGTATTATACTTAATTCATTTATATAGTTGTTGTTTTCTCTCTTCTTTCCTTTCTTTTCTTTTTTTCTTCTTGGGCTTGTCATGTCTCTGTTTTCTTTTCTTTTTTCTTCTTTTCTATTTATAAAGGTTTCAATGGAAATATATATATATATGTATATGTTCTCCGGTGTTGTGTTACCCCCCCCGTTGCTTGTTTATCCTCCTCTTCTTCTGTTTTGTTAATTTTCTCTACCGCAACATATGAATTGCTTACTGAAATCACTCGCACACACATATACACAAACAAAAGAAAACAATATGCTTTAAATATTGTGACGGATTTACTTACTCTTGGGTAATTCTATTTTATGTATATTCGTCTATATAGATGAATTAGCTTTTATTTCATTATTACATAATCATAATAATAATCTGATCTTTACATATCTCTGTTTAATGTTGAAAACAGTAACAACAAACAGTCTCCCTTAAACATATTCTCATTTCATTATATGTATATGTAGGTTATGTGTGTGATGAAATATATATGGGTTTGATGAGTAGATGAGATTGTGTTCATTTCAAGTTTGAAGAGTGAGAGAGTTAGAGGGTAGGGAAGTTTCTAGAAGACTTTATTTCGATAATGCAATAAGAGAAGATGATGTTTATCAGAAGACGTTTTTTGTGTAGATTGTAGTAATTTCAATAGTAAATTGAAGCTAGACCACCATTGAAAACATGAAAGCTCTGGATGACCATTTTGTACTATTGTGGGACTCCTCAGCAGTGCGCATCCATGATTCTGCCCACGGGATTCGAACCCAGTGCCTTTAGTTTCGTGCGCGAACGTTTAACCTCTAGACCCTGAACCTTTCAGCATCCAACGGTGTTAATGTCTAAACTCAATCAATCCACGAAATTGCGTGACCATCTTCCATTGTACTAAGGTAGATACCTGTCTTTACCCGACACGGATTAGCTCCACTGGTCATGGTTTCTCACCAGAACTCCGAGAATTTTCTCACGAAGCTAGTCACTAGTGAGCACATGGTAATTATCAATATAGGTTCGTGGAGATTATTAAGTTATTGATTGAAATCAGGAACCGATTGATGTTAGACTACCATTGAAAACCTGAAAGCGCTAGACGACCGTTTCGTCCCATTATGGGCCTCGTCAGCAGTGCGTACCAAAGGGACTAGAAACCAGGGCCTTCAGTCTCGTGCGCGAAAGACTAACCTCTAGACCACTGAGAAATCAACATCCTTTCAAATCATTTGTTTAGTGATATGTAAGAATACAGTGTTAAATGTAAGCTTCGATGCTGGACGTCTGACAATTTTGTTTAAAATTGCACAAATTCTAATAAACAAGGCATCAACATCTACAGATATTATTCGTTTCTCGTTTTGAATCATCTGACTAAATTTCAAAAACCCAACGACATTTTAGTATGAATATGAAAACGGTAACTACTGATGAATCGACTCAAGAAAAAAATGGAAACAGGAAGATAATTACTCCAACTATTCATGATTCACTTCAACCCTATGAGATCAGACACATCACGACCCTATGGCTTACTCAAAACCCACACGTCAGGACTTCCTTTTTGTGAATTTTTAGGTATGCATAACTCTCCATACCACAGAACTGCAAAGTGGCCAGTTAGAACCCTAGATCCCCCATGTGAAGTAGTCGTTGACAAAAGGGTCATAGATGTCCTCAACTTCATCTGCGAGGTGTAACATAAGATTTTTAATGAAAAGTAGATGATATTTCTAGGTGATGCTTCCTTGTCTACCAATATACCGTTAACTGAAATAATTGACTACTTGGAAACCAGATCTTCAATAAAAAATGACAGACAAATTGATGGCTTCACCTCTGGGTCCTATTCTAACTAACTTGTCCTTACAAATGTAGAGAACAAACCTCTATTTGTTACATGAGAAATCTAGGTAGATGCCTTTCAAGTAGAACTAGAAAGATATGCTCAAATGATACTATGAATAAGTATCATTTGTTGATTTTAATGGGTTACTCACAAGGTTTTCTGAAGAAATACTGGTATATAGTGAACAGGAAAGTAATTACATAGACGTGTTGTAAGAAACCTCTCATCGTGAAGCTAAAATTCAACGTAGATAAAGCTATTGACTTACTACGAAATAGACTAAGTGGGTGAAGAGGACATTTAATGGACTTAACCCCTTTCTAGCTGACCTGTGGAGGTCCTTCTACTTAATGCTACGTTTTCCAGTTCTGCCACATCCATGTAGATCTACAAATTCACCTGCCTTTACATTGAAAGCGAAATAGGATGTACAATCAGACAACTGACCCAATGAGTTAGTGGACAGTTCCTTTAATATTTAGGAAAGGGTATGGTCAAAATAAAACGCAGTTCCATTCTATCACAATTGACTGATAATGGCCATATAGTAAGTAGTAATAAACTGTCTAGTATAATTTATTGTATACCTACTATATTTCCTTGTGGGTAAGATTTCATCTCTTACATATATCAGAAACTATAACGATTCGAGATAACAACTAATATCTTTTCAAGCAAAGATGGATGGTGGCTGGCAATTAGATTCAGGACCCGCGTCTCGTCCTATTGGGACTTGTCAGCTGGACGTACCTGCATCCTAGAGTTGATGTTCACTGTGGTACTTGAACCCAATGTCGTTCAGCTTCAAACACCATCGTGTTATCCACTTAACTACTGAGTTCAGATATCCACTTGCTTGTATAATGGGGTGAAGCTTAAATTCACTTACTGTCGTCTTACTTTTATCTTCCCATTGTTATTTATAACTGCAATTGATCAGTCTCATGTTGGCATATGTGCATCCTGTATGTATTGACTCGAAATTGCCTTAATTCACAAGCTTTTTAAACAAAGATAGATAGTGGATAGCAGTGGAATCCAGGACGTGCATCACATAGTCCTATTTACAACTCATTAGCTACATATACCTACACCTCATAGTTAATGTTCACTCTAGTTTATGTATTTATTTTAACACATAGGTATTGGTAAAAGGAGGCACCAAATACATATGCGCCACACAAATCTCATTTGATTTGTGTGAGGGCTGTAATACTGCCCGGGTGCCCAAAGCAGGTGGTTTTCTTAGGGGGTCACACCCCGAACCTTGACCTAAAGGTTTGACCCACAAGGCAATGAAGCATCGTGAGGAGATGCAGTCCCATGGTAGCCGGTGACCAACAGTAGGTTCATACGTCATGTGTTCCCTCAGGATACTGGAACCAGCCCATGTGCACCATTGGTTTGGAATCAGGATTTCCCAACTCCCCTAGATGGACTCTCCATGTCCACTAACCGGTTAAAGCGCCAGAGATTGGCTTTTCGTCCTCTCAATTGCGTAAAGAACACTCCTGGTGTGAGAAGGCAGTGAGTAAAACTTCCCTGTCGGAGGCTATATACACGTGTCCATGTGAGAGCATTTGGAGCGAGAGAGAGTTGACTCTCCCCAATCTCAGCCATACCAGGGCATTTGGGGGTTCGAACCGATACTGTTATTATTATTATTATCATCATCAGCTTTATTGAATATTATATTTTTGGTACAATATAGAATTCTCAGCGTATAGTATTTCAACAAGTTTCCGTTTCTTTCTTCTTAGTCGGTTCTGGCGATAAATACCGAATGATCGCCAGTTAGATGTTAGCAGTTAACTAAATGAACATCTGAATAATGTGCATTCTTTTCGCTGTATATTGCCAACAACCACATTGGTTCTTATTGAGTTTCTTGTAACTTTGACAACGAAAGGTTATACACTTTTCAGAAACGCAGCAGAATAGATCATGCGATTAATAAACATAATGATATATTAAAATAAACAAAAATAGATAACTTGTTGAAATATCTAGACGGCAGGAACAGATAGCCCAGATGCTCAAGCAGGCCGCTCTTGTTGTTCTCTTCAAACACCATCACATTATCTATTTACTTACTAAGTTCTGATAACCACTTGCTTACTATTACTAATCACTATCTATCTTTGCTTATAATACTTGTTTGTTTGTCTGTTTTGTTTTGTTTTTTTCTTAATCATGAGTATTTCCATTTGATTATTGATTGACGATATACATTATCTCTCTTCTTAATAAATCAATACAATTTTCATTGGTGTCATTCTTTAAAGAAGAAGAATAAGAAAATCAATCATTTCTTACATTATACATTCATATTCAACAAAGAATACAATAACACACATGATATATATACATAATGATTACCACACCTAATCTTTTAGGTTAATTGTCCTGAAAACATTCTATACTTTCTTTATTGATATACATATAGCGACTCATTTATTGAATATAGAACAATATTATGATATTGAAGTAATAGTGTTTTATAATGAAAATCATTCAATAACTAATTCTTCATTCATAATTACTTAACACCGATATGAGGACAATCTACATGTGAACTTG